GGGGGACGCGCGATGGGGACAGGAGGGGATGCGGGGACATGCAGAGGGGATGCAATACGGGACATGCAATGGGGACATGCAGAAGGGATGCAGTGGGGGACACGCGATGGGGACATGGGAGGGGATGCAATATGGGACATGCGATGGGGACACGCAGAGGGGATGTGATGTGGGACATGCGATGGGGACATACAGAGGGGACACAGTGGGGGACACGCAATGGGGGCATGCAGAGGGGATGCGATGTGGGACATGCGATGGGGACACGCAGAGGGGATGTGATGTGGGACATGCGATGGGGACACGCAGAGGGGATGTGATGTGGGACATGCGATGGGGACACGCAGAGGGGATGTGATGTGGGACATGCGATGGGGACACGCAGAGGGGATGTGATGTGGGACATGCGATGGGGACACGCAGAGGGGATGTGATGTGGGACATGCGATGGGGACACGCAGAGGGGATGTGATGTGGGACATGCGATGGGGACACGCAGAGGGGATGTGATGTGGGACATGCGATGGGGACACGCAGAGGGGATGTGATGTGGGACATGCGATGGGGACACGCAGAGGGGATGTGATGTGGGACATGCGATGGGGACATGCAGGGGGGATGCAATATGGGACATGCAATGGGGACATACAGAGGGGACGTGGTGGGAGATGTGCAATGGGGACATGCAGGGGGGATGCAATATGGGACACGCAGTGGGGACATGCAGGGGGATGCGATGCGGGACATACAGAGGGGATGCAATACGGGACATGCAACAGGGACATGCAGAGGGGACACGGTGGGGGACACGCGATGGGGACATGCAGAGGGGATGTGATGTGGGACATGCGATGAGGACAAGCAGGGGGATGCGATATGGAACATGCAGTGGGGACATGCAGGGGGCATGCAATACGGGACATGCGATGGGGACACGCACAGGGGACGCGGTGGAGGACGTGCGATGGGGACATGCAAGGGGGATACAATCTGGGACATGCAATGGGGACATGCAGAGGGGATG